TTATTAGACCTCTTATCTTTAGGTTCAATGCCCTAAACAAAAGAACATGTTTCCATTTTTTCTCCTTTAACCTAGCACGCTAATTAATTTTCTGGACATCTTTTCTAGTGTATTTCTTCCTGGCACTCATTTTAGTACTTCGCAATTTTGATGAATTCATGGTGCCCCTTTTGGTACTCTTATCAGTATCTTTGGTGACACGTGAGACTCTTTTCCTCAATTTTTATATAAAATTGTTAGTGTGATGCTAATTTATGTGGGAAGATTGTAACTGGCCTATCAGAGTTTGAACAAATTTTTGGAAGTGTCTACAAGTAAAAGTTACTAAAATATTTTTGATCAAATGGTAATTTGTTTTGCAGGTACTATCTGGTGATTTCTTAAAAAGTTATGGGAAGGATATAATTAACATTCATCATGGACTTTTGCCATCCTTCAAGGGTGGACATCCATCAAAACAGGTTAATGTGCTTTGCTCTTCAAAGTCCTGGTAATCAACCTGATGTTTTAGCTCTTACTCTTGAATTCCCATTTTTTTAAATTTCCTTTAGTATGTTTGCAGGCATTTGATGCCGGGGTAAAGCTAATTGGTGCAACAAGTCACTTTGTGACCGAGGAACTTGATTCGGGACCTATCATTGAGCAAATGGTACTTATCACAATGATAACTGATTAGGATTATGCTCCTTTTTGTTTTGTGTCTGCCGTCTAAGAAATGGAATGTGGTCATTAAGTCATTAAAAAGTTATTCAAATTATCATCCGAACACATTCATTTCCACTCCTTGAGTGCACCCAGTAACTTTTTTTATACTCTAAATGTGTGAGAATCAGAGTTGTTTATGCCAAGAGTAATCGGAACTAGTCTACTTAATGGCGACTTGGATTGGCTTTCATTTCCTATTTTCATCAATGGCCATCATTTTGCCTGTCTGTGCTTTAGATGTTTTAATTTATCACATAGTTCGTAGTTGTCTTGCCTACAGAATGCTGCCTCTTTACTTTCAACCTCTTACCGTTATTCAGATTTTCAAATTATGCATCCTCACAGATTCATTTGCACTGCTTAAAGTACACCTGTTAACTTTTTCATAGTTTTTTAGACGTGAGAAAAGAATAGTACATGCCAAATAACTCTTGTCAATTTAAGCTCTCACTAAATTGGCTTTCATTTCCTTTTCTTATCCTTCTTAGACATTTGATGCTTTCATCATTCAATACCATCAGTTTGCTTGTCCATGCTCTAGATATTTTAGCTAATAACTTACAGGTCAGAAGTTGTAACATCTTGAATGCTGCGTCTTTACTTCCAAGCTCTGCAGCCTAAATGCTTCTTTATAATAGGCTTCATAGAGTCTCAAGTTGCTGCTCATTTCTATAGTCAAAATCTAGCCTATGAAGTCTTTAGCTGAAGTAAAAGAAGCTGCATGTTAAAAGCTTAGTAGTGTATGAACTTTATTGGGCTTTAGAGGTGAACAGTTGATCAGAAGCTAAAACAGGTTGAGAAACAAAGAATGCAAAGGATCAAGTTGAATTTACTTCAGCTGAAATCCTGATCCTACGTGTTATCATCCCATCTTTTCTTCTCTATTTATGAATTTAAGTAATGCTTTTGAGAATGTGATGCATGATTGTTCAAAGACATGCTTTTTAGGATGTGAATTTAAGTTTTTGCTACTGACATGAGAGCATTTATTTAGGTTCAATATCTACAGCTTGATTCTTCCCTAAACAAACCATAGCGCAACTGATTCTGAAGTTGAAATATGATAGTTGCGACTGACATGAGAGCATTTATTTAGGTCTAATATCCCAGTGGCTTCTTTCTGATTTTCTTGGTGCTATGGATTAAAATTCTGCTTTCTTGTAGATGATGTGCGTGTTTGTCTTGATTCCTTGTTCTTAAACAATTCATAATGCATCAGAAATTGTTTTGCAGGTTGAGGCAGTTTCTCATAGAGACAATCTGAGAAGTTTTGTTCAGAAATCAGAGGATCTTGAGAAAAAATGCCTTTCAAAAGCTATAAGATCATATTGCGAGCTGCGAGTGCTACCTTATGGCACAAACAAGACTGTTGTATTTTAAGAATAGAAAGAAAAGACCTGTAAAGGTGCAATAGGGTTGTACGTTCAGTTATTATTGAATTGTTCTATACAGAAGTACTTCAAATCAAATGTTCCACTCTTTGAATTCAAATTATAATACCAGATATTTGAAAGGGAAAATGAAGCATATAAACTTTAATGTTTGTCGTTTCTCTTCTTACCCTTCTCATATATAAATCATTTGAATTCTTTGGTGGGTGGGAAAAGTGGATTGGTTAGATGATGAAATGGATGATGGAAGTTAGCATATTCTTAAAATTGAAAACAAGGTCAATTGTTGGTTTACCTAACGAAATAGAACTGTTTCGAGTGAGTTTCTTCGATGCATGAATTTCTTTTGCTTTAATTGTTTTCTTGCTTCTTTTTAGTTCTAATGAAAGTATTTATATATTTTTTCAGATGAAAGATGTGTTTATTGACTTGCTCATATTGTCAATCAACCAGTGAAAGCATAAAATTCTTGCGGCATTTCCGAGTTTGCAAAACTTGATGCACATTTCTCGGAACCCGAAAAAAATCAAAACCAAATAAGCAATGTCATTGGAATCGCAAAAAAGCAAGATCTGTCCATTTAATTCCAAAACTTCAATATAAAGATCACACTGATGACTTTTATAATGTGTTGAAAAAACAAAATGATTTGAGAGTTTCCTGTGAATACTACTTGATATCTATGTACAAAGCAAATGATCTACATATGCATATATATGTATATATGATTTATATAGTATTGGTTATGCTTAAAGACTGAAGGGAGCAGTCAGTTGCCTCAATGCAGGTAACTTGGCGAAGAAGACTCTGAATTCCATCAACCCATTTTTGCTTATGAAGCTTGCTCCTGCATTTGAACTCCATAAGTCCCTGTGCAGTCTTCAGTCCAAAATACAGATCTTCTGTGTTTTCCCTCTCTTTCCTGTATGGCCATGCAGCGGTCTCGTCGCAGACTCCATAAACGATGCCTGCTATCACCCACAGATCGTTTAAACCCAGAAAAAATCAAGTAGAAAAACTGATTTACGAGTGGTTGATTAAATAAAGTAGTCCTTGAAATTCAGAACAAGTTTATGACTCTATACATTTATTCTTCTTGGAGAAGGCTCCCCCCACATGTTTGCTCTTTAGCTTGATTATGATCTGAAATTTGAATGATATATTGGTAAAATTATGAATTTAATTCAACTCTCTCTCTTTCGCTCTTTGTATATTTATTTATGTGTATATATATATATATATATGTATGTATGTATGTATACTGTATGTACCTGAGATTTTTTGTTGATATAAACTGATACTCGCTTCCATCGCAACACTCCTGTAAATTAAACACCAATAAAAGGGAATTGAATATCATAATTGTTGAAATTGTGTTATGCATTAATCAATGAATGGTTGGTAATTCATTTTCTGTAAGAGATTATATAGTCATGCAAACTGTGTTTCAGTATATATTCTTTAAGAAATTATAGTGATCAGTGTGTATATATTATTTAATTAATAAAATATATAAATTTTTAAATAAAAATAACCCACCTCCTCCACTAATTAAGGCTAAAATTTCAACGCATTGGACAAACTGATGCACGTAAAAAGACAAAAAGAATATATAAACTAATGAAAACTGGTTTTCACTTTGCAATAAATTTATCAAAATTACATTTTAACTTTAAATTTCTTTCCAACCATTTTCATCTTATCCATTTAGTTATAAAATTATTTTTTCAAATGCAAAAATAGAAGCCAAAAACTACTCTAAATGAGAACTTACTGTGCACTTACTAATTAATTACTGAAGTAACAAAGAAAGATTATGTTCATTAAAATCAAAAGGAAAGCCGTCTTCTCCAATATTTGTTTGAGGCTAAAATTTATATGCGTTGGACAAATTGATGCACGTAAAAAAATTGAACTGAGCAGAGACTGCTTTTGTTTTAAAATTGAAAACCCAGAAAAGAAATTACCTTTTCGAGTGATCTGCATTAATTCACCCTCACATGGAGGATTCTGTTCTTGATCCGTTCTATTATGAAAAGCAGCAGGCCAATGAATCTCCGTTATACTCCTTTCACATGGACTTATACTTGCATTTTTCCTTCCTTCTGTCGGAACTCTAGCTTTTAACGCAGCTTCTCCTCTCAAAGCTGATCCATAAAAAGAAACACACATATTATTACCGGAAGGTTCTTCTTCTAGATCTTCTGGGTTTTATTAGTAAAAGATCATGTAAAACAGACTGAGTTATTACCCGTTGCTGCTGCAGCTGTGAGAGTGATTAGATCGCCGGGACTGTGAATATCGACGGCTGATCTGACGACGGAAGCAACACGATCATGATCGGCACCGGCTTGTTCAGCCAGTTCAATGCAATGAGAAGCCAAGAGTTCAGTGGCAGATGCCAGTGCCATCGCCATTTTTGAACTCGAACCACCACTGGCTCTGTTACTTGCTGCAGAAACAGCAGCCAAGGCTGCTGCTAACCCTGCAACTGACACGGCTGAGTGGACATGGGCGTTCTCAACTCTTGCCCTGTCTTTCTTCTTCACCGAGTTACTCATCAACTCCTTCTGCTGAAACCATTTTCCGATGGATCCAGTTTTCCGAGAGTTCGTTGAGCTTATAACCTTCCCTGTCTGAAATTTTTAAAAGAAAAAACACAGAAAGTTACAAATCTCGGTTTATTTGAAAAAGGAAAAGGAAGGTAGAAAATGTTTGCTTACTGATTGTGGTAATGGAGTGAGATTGGAGTCGGGGAAAATATTATTAGAGTTATTATTATCGAGAAAAAAGTTTTTGGGCTTGTGATTTTGAGCAAGAGCTTTTGAAATTTCAGAAGCGGAAAGACTCCATGATCTTGATAAGAACTCCATTGGTTCTTTCGGTGTTTGAGGTTGAGGTGGTATAGACGGCATTAATGTCGATCCACCTGTAATCAACTCTCCATCCTCTTCTACATTTTCTAGCCCGTATAATAACCCATGATTCCAATCTGAGTACACCTCATCACTGTTCATCTTCTCACCTTCTTTTTCCTCTTCTTCTCCGACAAACCTACTTTCTTCTTCTTTTCTTTTTTCTTCTCCCGCTGAAACCTCTCAGTTGCAGCCTTAATGAGAGCTTGTGTCTATAAACACATTAAAGACCCATTAATTAAACGGTGAAAATTATAGAAAAAGAAATGAAAGTTACTTGTTTTCCTGCTATATATATATATATATGTATGTATGTATGTATGTATAGTTAAAAGGAGTGGGTATTGGGTAAGAGAGGATAAAGATAAACGAAGCAGAAAATTCGTTTAAAAAGAGAAATGATTAATTTTAAGTTGAACGTGATTCAAGTGATGGTCTCAAGAAAAAAGTCTACTTTAAAATTAAAGAAGCAGCATAAAAATAAAGGAGAAGCTAGAAAGGATGCTCAAAAATCTAAAAAGCAAAACAAAAGATCTTTTAGAAAGACTTCCACAGAAAGATTCTACATAAGATATATATATATATATACGGAACTTCTATGTATCTATCTTTATATATACATATATATATATATAGATTTCCAAGACTCACCCAGTAAACAAACCTCAATATTTGGTCTCTTCCAACAAAAAGCACTCTGTTCTATTTAGTGCTTGCCTACTCTAAACCAACCCTCTATATATATACGACACAGAAAGAGCAAGCAGAGAAGATTAAAATAACAAAATTCGAAATCTAGTGCTTTGAGCCCTCATGGATTCAGCAGGATTTTTAAATTAAAGAAGAAACAGTACAGGGATTACGAAGCTCGAAGATTCAACGAAAACGCAGGTCAAACGGAGGACTGTGCCCTGGATAACCGGAGCTGGTTTCTTATTACTCATGCAATTAAGCCCACGTATTCATAATCAAGCATTTAATTATATATATATATATAATACATTATTATTAAAATATAATATTCTTAGTCTTTTAAATAAATATATATAACAATAATGTGTTATTTTAAATATTAATTAAAACCAGTGTTGTAACTTTCAAGTAGTTGGTCACTTGAGAATACGTGAGGAAGAGGAAGACCATGCACGAAATAATAAGCTGACTGGACGGCAGTGACGGTTCTTGTTTTTATCGCTATTTTGCTTGTATATTTTTTCTTAAATCTAAAATTATTATTTCCAATTTTTTACCAAATAAATAACGAATTATATAAATTACATATAACACGTAAATTACTAAACATTTATTGTAAAATAAACACGTGATTTAATTATGGCAGGCTAGTTAGGGTTCTTTACTCCCAGAATGTTTTAAAATTGGATAGCCGATCATATCACTCTCTTTTCAATTAACCTTTAATTATGCCGTTAATTTGAAGTTAATTAATTACCTTAAAAATTAATTAATTTAATCCCGTTTGTTTAAACGTCGCCTTCACCATAATTAACCCGCACACGTTCATGGCATTAATTGGACCATGTTTCAGGGTTATCATATCCACGCAACCAAACAGATTAAAATTAAATGACATTTTAAGAGATTTGAGGACACCCTTTTCTTACCAAAAAAAAAAAAAAACTAAATCAGTCTAAAATTTTCCTATGATTGAATTAAAGTAATCCAAAAAAAAAAAACTTATTCTTCAATCATTTAATAAATTATTATTATTATTATTATTGCATTCAAACATATAACCTTTAAAAATGATAATTTCATCTTTGTACTATTTATTTTTGTTTAAATCATTATTTATTTTTCTTTTTTAGTTCAAAATAGTTTGTGCATTTTTGAAAAAAAAATTATTTAATATATTTTTTTCATTAATTATTAATATTATTAGGTAAAATATCATGTATCAAATTTATTGATATATCACAACTTTTAATCGGTATAAGTGTAAACTAAATTTTTTTACGTTAAATATTATGTGATATCTGTCGTGATATTTTAAAAATTATTATGAATCAATTCAAACTATTTTATAATTTAAAAAAAAACATAATGCGATAAAGAGAATAAATAATTTGAACAAAAATAAATTTTTATTCTAGAAATAATTTGGCGAAACTTTTAATAAAGTACTTTTAAAAAAACAAATAATTTGATGAATTATTATTAGTTTACTTTATACTTTTGTAGAAAAATAGAGAAATAAAAGTTAAAATATTGCATAAACATTTATGAAATTTAGCAACTTATGGATATTCTTAAAACATATAATAATGTTTGTAAAAGGGTTACATAGTACATATGAATTATTGGTAACGTTAAATTTTATATAAAAAAAAAATGAAAAGATGCATTGATCCAATTATTGAAATAAAGTCAAATACTTTATATTTATAAGGGTCTATTTTAATATTAATTTTTTTTCCTAAATTTGTGACACATACATGCATGAAATATAAATGTATTGATTGGTTTGAGAACCGAATAAAATATAAATCTAAACTGAAATAGATTGAATTTGATTTTTCTTTTCGAAATTTTAATTTTAATTTTTCATTTTATTAAAATTTAAAAAAAAATAATGTTGTTTATATTTGGGGTTATTTTTTTAAAATTAAATTAGAATAAATTAAATTTTTTTTTCTTTTTTATTTTTAGATTTGATTAATTTAATTCGACGTGATTATCTACTCCGTATCAGAATAAAAATATTTTTAATTGACAACAATATTATGTATATTGGATATATTTACATAATTTCAAAAAATTTAAAAGCTTGCTAATATATGTGTATTGAAGTGAAATATATGTTTTTTGAAGTTAATTAGCTCAACTAAAATAGTATTTAAGAAGCATAATTATATAATTTATATTAAGGTGGGCTTCCAAGAAATTAATTGACGGCCGGGAGAAGTCAAAGATTTAGGAAGCCATTTGGTGTAGCACCCTCCGCCCAGTTGTACTCAGCCCTACGTGCTTCCCGTGTGTGGTTACGCGTTTAACACCGACATGCATTTGCCCGCCCCCCCTCCCTCTTACTATTTCTTTTTTAAAATTTTATAATTACGTTTTATTTGAAAAGATAATTTAGTTTTTATATATAAATTTCGTTTTTTAAAGGATAAAATTGGTATTTTTATATTAAAATTAACTGAAGTATTTGAGTGTAGTGATATTTTTATAGCACACAGTAAAACTCAATTATTGTTGGTGTTATTATTATTATTATTTATTGGTGTATTGTTTTGTATCCATACGTCGTCGTAACCCACCAAAAGCTTCAGTCATCTTCCTAGGTTTCTAGAGGTAGACTTTGATTTCTTCTTTTCTTTAAGAAGCTAAGGGTTTTGTTAAGAATAAAAATTTTAATTAAATTTTTTAATATATTATGACTATTTAATTAAAAAAAAAATAATTTTTTCGAAATATTTTTTTTTTTTTTAAAAATAATAAATTTATAATATTTAACTAATTTTGTAGCCCCCGGAAAGGAGGGGGGAAAAAAAAAAAAAAAAAAAAAAAAAAAAAAAAAAAGAAAGGGCGGCCACGTCAGCAGCCACGCCAGCAGGCCCGGTCAGCAGTCCCGGCCAACCAGGGCCTGCCACGTGGCAAGACCGCGTCACTCCAAAAGGAGCCACGTTGGCGATCCGCGTGGGTGCGATCCGACGGCCCAGATCAATCACGAGATCGGACGGCCCAGATTCAATCGCACGGACGGCCCAGATTCAATCAAAAACGAACGGCCCAGATTAAAACAAAATGAACGGCTGTGATCAAAAGGCAAGGGGTTATAAATAGAACCTCCACACCAGACCACAAACCCTAGCCGCCAGCCGCTCGCCGGAAAAAACGAACCAGAGGCCGACCGCCGCCACCCGCCGCCACTCGCCGCCGCACCGGGGAAATTTCCGACCGCCGATCGAGGTAAATTTCATACCCCCGACTCGTTTTTCCCCACTGATTCCTCCTATGGCCAAATCGAAGTCGAAATCCCGGCCAAACGGCCGGAATACGCGGCCGAAGCCCAGCGGCACCGCCGCGCCCCCTCTCGGTTTTTGCCTCCGACGAGGCCCTTCCCGGCCTCCGTTCGATGCAATTTTTATATCATCGTGATCACCATTCTTTTCTCTACAGGTTGACCGAAGCCAAATCACCAAAACACGAACTTCGCCGGAGAGTCGCCGTACCCGAGAGTGCCGCCGCCGGTAAGCTCCGTTTTTCCGTATTTTTTGGCCCCCCGAGGGCCCTAGGGTTGTTTTCTGACAAGGACCAATGCGAGTGTGGCCGAATTCGGCCAAAAACGGCCGAAAACAGTCAACCCGAGGCGACTCGCCGCCGCCAGCGGCGGCGCCGTCGCCGGAGCACGGCGGAGCCGCCGTGCCGGAGTTGCGATTTGGGCCGAAAGAGGCCCTGGGCCTAATTTGGATTTTTTTTGGAACCCGTGCAGGTACTGTTAGCGTGTTTCAGTTCCCCGGGAAAAATTCAGGGGAAAATTAGGGACAGCCTGCAGGCGCACTGTGAATCGTATTCGGATCCCGAAAACAAGTAAGGACCCCTCACCCTATTTCCTATCACGGTATTAAAGTTCAAAATGATAAAACAGTATTTCTTGAATTAACGCATGTGTGAAATTGCTTAAGGTTGCTGATGGAGCCCGAGTCTAGTGTGATTGATGATTTACTGTTATTTGGCCTGTTTACAGCTTTAAATGCAGAATGATGTTTGATGTGTTCATTTTACAGATTTGTGTGCATGCACTACGTTTTTATTATTATGGGTTGAATGACTGAAAACTGATACTG